AGCAAATGACCGGTTCGGTCGGACCGCCGACCGGTCCAGACCGGCTGGACCGGTTCTGCTCATTTTCATCCGGTTCGGTCCATTTTAGCCCGGTTTATCATTTAAGGTCATTTTCAGTTAAATTTCCGGGATTATTTCAGGCCAATAAATTCATGTCCAAACCAGTTCAGATTAAGGCAGTTCCGGTTATTCCGGATAAGTCTAAAAATCATGTTAAGTAAAATAGAGCATCTTAACGAAAATTATCAGTTAAGTTAACAGTCTGAGCATAGTCAATAGTAATTGTTTATATTATTTTCAGTTTAGCAGGCATCAGCACTACCTTTCAGTTCAGCATTTCAGGTGGGGACTCAGACTAAGTACTACATTATTTATAATTACGCTACCATGTTCGAGGTATGTATTTTCAGTATCCGCTCGGAATGGTCGCCGGTCCATTCTGGGTTCTAGTGGCCCTAGTCTGCCCACTAGAGTGTGCACATGGTGTCCGGTTCGCCGGCAGATGTTCAGTTCAGATGTGACTTATGTCACTACGTGGCTTATGTCACGAGATCAGTTATCAGTTACGTGACTTATGTCGCGAGTTCATACCGGTATCTGTTCAGTTCAGTTATATATGCTTAGTTCATGATATTGTTATTATTTACAATGTTTTACATTAGCATGAGTTTCCACGGAGCACAGTGCCTTAGTGCTCACTCCCCAGTTTTATCATGTTTTTCAGGTCAGGATGTCGGGCCGGGAGCGTGACGTGACGTGACGGGATCTTCAGGATATTTATATATGTTTTGGACTGTATAAATATGATTATGACTTACGCTTCCGCTTATATTTTGATGACTTTTAACGATGTTTGTTGGTTTTGACGAACTTTTAAGAAACCCATGATTTCAGTAACCGGACGTTTTTATTAAATTAAAACCACGGTTTTCTAAGTTAAGTCACGATTTTCACGGTAGCACCCCGAATCAGTTTTCGCAAAGTAAAAAGATTTATTTTTCAAAGACTTTGCGAATTATTGCGCTACTCTAATTTTTATGGTAAGGAGGGGTGTTACACGAAGGAGCCAAGAAGTGCTAGGATTGATTCATTCTGATTTGTGTGGTCCTATGTCGATCCAAGCTAGAGGAGGCTATGAGTATTTCGTCACTTTTATTGATGATTATTCTAGATATGGGTACATTTACTTGTTGCACCGCAAGTCCGAATGATTTGAGAAATTCAAGGAGTATAGGACAGTTGTGGAGAAACAACAAGTTAAAAGTATCAAGTGTCTTCGATCTGATCGAGGAGGCGAATACCTCTTTGGAGAGTTTAGGACATACCTATCAGAAGTAGGGATTGAATCCCAACTGACTGCACCCGGCACGCCCCAGCAGAACGGGGTTGCAGAGCGAAGAAACAGAACTCTTATGGAAATGGTTAGGTCGATGATGAGTTATTCGAAGTTACCAGATTCGTTTTGGGGATTTGCATTAGAGACCGCATGTTACATTCTGAATTTTGTTCCTTCAAAATCAGTAGACAGTACTCCTTATGAGTTGTGGAAAGGGCGCAAGCCTAGTTTCTCACAAATTCGAATTTGGGGTTGCCCTGCACATGTCTTAGTGCAGGAGGCTGGCAAGTTGGAGAAACGATCAGAAGTGAGACTGTTTGTCGGCTATTCCAAGGAAACGACAGGTGGTTTATTTTAAAGTCCTGAGGATCAGAAGGTGATCGTTAGTACGAACGCTAGATTCTTGGAAGAAGACTATATTATAGATCATAAGCCCAGTAGTAAACTTGTCCTAGAGGAGGTAGGGAGAGATATCGATAGTTCCCCACCGAGTGCGCAAGTAGATACATCACATAGTACTGCAACACGTAACAATGATAGTGTGCCAGTACAGTCGGTACCTCGTCGTAGTAGGAGGGTTTCTACAAAACCCGACCGATGGATAGGTCTTGGAGAGTCATCGGACTAAGTTCCAGGAGACCTGGAATCGGACCCAAGAACTTATGACGAGGCACTCCAAGATAGAGATGCAAATTCGTGGAAGGTTGCAATGAAAGTTGAGATGGGGTCAATGGACACCAATCAGGTCTGGGAT